CAGCTCTGCATCACCCGACGCCGCCCTGCACCCAGTCGATGTACTCCCGACTGGCGTCTTGTGCCGCCTCCGGTCGACCAGCTCCAGCGCCCCTGCTGTTTAGTCTCCGCCCCTCACTGCCTGCTAAACACTCATACTGGGGCAAACGAACGGGTCAAACGTGGCCAACATCGCTCGGCGCCGCCGCGGCCCTGCACCCAGTCGATGCGTGCATCCCACGGTGGCTGGTGTGAATCGCGCCGCTTCCATCGCCGAGTCAGCCATTCCCTGTTCAGACTCGCTTTGCCACCAGATCACCTTGTCGTATCTGTACTGCCTCTTAATCCTTACGTACATAATTACAAGACACGAAAGATGTTAACGAGTACGGACTGCGAGGTCTACCTCTGCACGTCGCCACCGGCCGCCGGCCAGATCGGTGCTGAAAATATCGTCCGGTCCTTGGCTCATTGACGCCGGTTTCGTCGCGGACCCTCCCGTACGACATCAAGTCTACATGTACATTAGAGCAACAGATGCGCACTTTCGAAACGGGGAGTGGTGTAGACGNAGTTCGCACCCATTACCTGCTGGCATCAGAGCCTCTTAAACGCGGGGAATTCGTTGCCTGTCGGGGACGTGGGTAGGGTAAGCACGTGGCCGACTCCACGTGCGGCCCCGATCCAGCCGGTCTCTTAATGGGACATAAATGGTGGTCCTCTACTACTACTACTACTAGGCCTCGCTCTCGCGTTGCCTTGCCTCCTCCGTCCACAACTGTACATTCTCGCGCTCAGCATCGTTCTTCCTTTCAATCTTTCGCCGCTTCCGCTCCCTTTCGTGCTCATCCCTACCCGTCCGCTTTCTCGCCGCCTCTTCCCGATCTCCCTCTCGCACGACCTCCAATGCTTGGCCTCCCAGCCCGTCCACCTCTGCCAACGGCCAAAGCGGCCGCATCGTCCGCAGATCACCAGCGTTCTCGAAGTCCCTTCTTGATGCAATCGTCTTCAAAGCACGGTCGGGTAATATGCCCGACGACATGAACGGTACGTGCGGATATGATTCTCTCTTCGTCTTGAGTCGCCAGTCATTGAGTTTGTCCTTAGTGTCGGCGAGGTGTGCACCGCCTCTCCTGGAGATCTTCGGCTTCGACAGTATTCCAGGCGACACATCGTCGTCCGAGTCCGAAGTCCGCGGGTGTTTCTTCAATGTGGACGGTTGGCCGGTGTGCTTACGCTTGCGGGGCGTGTTGACGACGCTCGAAGGTGAAAGCGGAGTAGTGCTACTGCCTTCGGACCCGACACGCTCGATAGCCACCGCCTTGCTCTCGGCGGCTCTCTCACAGTTGTCGCAGCAAACACCTGTCGGCGCTGCAACATGTGTCAAACCCCATAACAGCTTTGGGAGACATCACTCACGAGATCGGGCCGGGTTTTCGTAGTAGTCGTCCAGCACATCACGTCGACAACCTGCCGTACTGAGATACTTCCTAACGTTGCCATCCACCTTCTTCTTGCACTGCACATCACTCTCGTCACACTCGACGTCCGGGAAATCCCCCTCATCCAGCTCTTCCGCTTCCTGATCGCTCGCCTCCCCATCTGTATCAGACTGGCCCTGCTCCTCGCTATCCCTACCAGCATCCCCCCTTTTAGTCCTACTGCCCTTTATTTCGAAGCAGGATCTCGGGACGATCATTGTTGCCTCTGCCAGAATCCCACGGGTCGCACGGCACGTCCGAGGCGCTGAACCCACTGATCAATGTCGTCGGAAACGTCGAATTGTACCACGCGAATTAGGTCTGCGACATCGAGACCCTAATGGACTGTGAATTCGGGTCGCTTCATCTTGTTCACATCCTGCACGTACCATTCCCGCAGACTCAGTCGCGAGTGAGTCATCAACAAACCGTGAAGCCAGGTCAAGTGCTTGGTAGGGCTTCAAGCAGCTCAAGCAATTTAAGAGATCTAAGAGCTTCTGCAGGTCCCGAACGCGTTAAGCGGCGTGTGATTGACGCTGTCCATTGGCTGTAGACCAGCCTCGAGGCTCGCTAAAGCGCTGCCACGCGCGTCGCNCCATTGGCTGTAGACCAGCCTCGAGGCTCGCTAAAGCGCTGCCACGCGCGTCGCGAATGTCGTTCTCGTTCTCTCGATGGTTTTCTGGATCTGGAACTCACTCGTTACTTGGACTTTTGAGCTCAATGTTGCACTACTGGGTAGCAAAGATACGACGGAACGTGTCTACGGCAGAATATCGCACGGGACGCCTAAGGACGGATGGAGCGAGCGCTGGGAACTCGACGAGCGACGTCTCAAACGGTGGGTTCTCTTAAATCGCTTGAATTGCTTGAAGCCCTAACAAGCACTTGAACTGGCTTAGTGCTTGAGTCACTCAAGCACTTGAACTGGCTTCACGGTTTGTTGATGTAGCCGGCATGAAAGTAGTTGGCGCATGAGGCCAAGGACTCCAACCTGATCTTCTTCACAGAAAACGCACATATACCGTGCATCTCGATCTCTGGAAGACCATGGTAAACCCTAGATAACGTGTCTACGGGTCCAATCGTCCAATCGGCGATCTGGCGAGAGCGAGGATAGACGGATCCTGCATTGTTGCAATGGTCGTGGGACGGCATCATTAAAGGCGTGGCGCAGAGCAAGCTCGAAGACAGCATTGATTCCGCCCCGGCGTCGTCGCCGTCGCCGGGGAACTGAAGGGTGCGACGATTCACAACGAGCGGGCGGGAATAGTGCGCGAACACCCGAATGGGTCAGGCAGCTATGTTACTAAGCGCGAGCGTGAGCACGCAGATTGTACACTCTTTTGAACTACTGGACCGTATGTCGATTTTGTGTACGTGGCTGCTGGAGAGATGAGATGTAAGGATCGGAGATCGGAGATCGGAGAAGGGAAGGAAGATAGACACGCCTGCCCTCCTTAAACTTGCTCATCGCGTTCATCATCCAGTTGTAACCCTCGCGACAAGGTGTGAACTGGCCGCGACTCGTGTTCATAGTACTAAGGAGTTCATAGTACTAAGGAAGCATAAAAACTCAGCACAGCAACGGGAGATCATGACGAGATGAAGACGTACGTGAACAAAGGCGGCAAGGGTAATGACGGGATAGTGCAACGGCCGGCGGCACTTCTCGATGCTGGTTGGCGCGTCCGCGTGCAAATCGACGTACATCGAGCCGGGCGTAGGTATCCGTATACATTGGCAAGGACAAGCCACCCGACACAATGGCTAGAATACTGTCCAAAGTCGCACGCACGCCGCGGCGCTACTCGACGCGGTCCTTCCAGCATAGGCATCTTTCCCAAGGTGCACGGGTCGCTGACATGACACCAAGTGCACAAGAGCCCGATGCCCTGGGCACGTTCGTGCCCGAAGCCTGCGAACCATGCAAAGCCGCGCCACGAGTTTGACATTCATGGCGGTGGTCGGGTACTGTCGGGTATTGTTTGATCCAGCATCGGCGGGGTTTTACGGCTTCGAGTACGGCCTCCCTGTCTTTCTTCGATACCCTCGCCCTCTCCTTTCCACAAAGGTACGGTGGAGGTACACGCCGAACGCCAACCCAGAGGCACAAGCATTCTTGCGGACGAAGCCGGCATTGCACGCATCACGAGTAGCTTGTGGAAGGGTGACAAGCTTGCTGTGGGAGCTTGCCGCGGATCTAGACACAGGCGTCGGCAGCGCTCGCGCCGTGGTCAGAGCCGAAACAGACCTCAAGGAAGTCGCGTATCTCTGCGCAAGATTGAGTCACCGCCTTTGCGAGAGCCGCGCTTGTCTTCGCGAACGTTGACAGCCAGGTGGCGGAGTCTTCCGCGCGGGTACCGATAAAGAAAGCGACGTCCTTGGGATCCTGAGGCCGGGCTTGTGTATAGATCTCCACTTCAAGCCAGACGGAGAGCGAAAGCGGGTCCAAGGAACTGTGAGACCCTGGCCTGGAAGGGTATTGGTATTGACTCAGAGCGATAGTTGACGCGTCGTGAGCGATCAACGATGTTGTATAAAGACATTGAGCCTTGATCGGAGCGTCGAGGCAGCTTTCACTCTGCGCGCGGCACTTCAATATCAGACGTCGAGGTATTGACTGGCGCCGTTCGCGCGGAGCTGATGACTGTGAGTGCTGAAAGTGACAGGATGACCCCCATCTACAAGAGTACAAAGACCACATCTATCGGCAGCAGCTGAGTAACTCTCGTACCGAGATAAGACAATAGATAAGCGAGACACTAACCGTAGGCCGGAGTTCCGTCCAAACAACCATCCTTCGCCGATCCAAGATGTACAACCTACCCTCAACTTCTGTACGACCGCCTCAATGCCTATTTGCGCACGTTCACACACTCTCCCAGTATTTTCGGGATACGAACTTACAGGCAAGTCGCCAGTTCTGCTATGCAGGAGGCCAGTTCAAGCAGCTGACATGAGCGCGGGGGAGAACCAGCGACCAGCGCGTGCGACATGCGACATGCGATAAAAGATCTAGAGACGCAGACAGGCCACATTTCATCGCAGTATAAAGCCTTGAGCGAATGCTGTAGCTGGTGTAGGGTAATGAAGAGCATGGCGAGGCGTGATGGTGGTAGTTGAACACAAGTAAACAGCCGCGGCGTGCTTCGTCTCTTGCCACCACGACCTCGGCCGTCTTTTCCCACTGCACTTTCTGTATATACTATGGGTAGTGTGAGCCAAGGACATTCGTTCCAACTGGCTACGGCCTATCGCAGACCTTCAGACTCTATCTTCTCGAGGCAATCAAGCCCATTGGGGTATCTATGAACGGCTTGATTCGTCGTTGCGTGCAGCGCCCAAAAGCATGAGGAGGCTGGCTAGCTGAGGGCGTACACGGTACAGCCGATGACGATTGTAATCCTACGCGGGCCTGTTCTCGCACAACGGACCGCAACGGTCCTACTTTTTCCAGACTAGCCGACGACGCGGGATCATCCTCGAGCATGCGGGACTTCCCTTGACGCCTATCTTCGCGTTCACCTGGATGCCATACGACGACTGTGAACCGATGTAGTCAATAAATGGCAGGATTGACATGTTCGGACGCCGATAGGATATGACCTGCTCGCGAAGTTGCGTACAAGACAACAATCTGCAATTGATGATAGCGGGGTCAGATGTGCGAATCTGCACACAACGGCGTGGTGGATGGTGCGGATAAAGGTGAAGCAGCACGACAGCGATGGACGATGAGCGCAATGTAGGAGTGACGATAGTGTTGTGGCAGTACATGAGAGGATACGATCAAGATAAATGGCACGGCACGAGACGAGTGAGGTGGCTGGGCGACGAATATATCAAGACAAGTGGATATAGAAGCATGAGGATGAGGGCCATGAGGACGAGGAGAAAGCGACTGTTCGGGCCAACGGGCGCGCGCAAGATCACCGAAGGCCCTGCATTTGGACGACGAGGAACTGTTCGTCTGCATACGCGCATCAGTCGGGACTGTTGCGTGGGAGTACCCGTGGCGGTGCTTACCGTCATTGTCGTTGTGGGAGTCCTTCACGAAGGCGAGCCGCTTCTCCTTGTTCCCCACTGGATGCTGACGAGCTGCGGCGGCTTCTTCGGGTTCGCTAAGAACACCTGTCGCTGATATCAGAATACAAGCGCAGGAATCGTGGCAGAATGGCATGTTCGTACCTTGAATACGTGAAACGCCTCGGACTGGATGTTTTTGCACTTGTCACGAAGCAAGTTGATCATCATCTTCAAGTTGACGTCGTTGAAGATGTAGCAGGGTCATGATGGCGAAGATAGCGCGATCGAGCCAGATTTCTCCAAGGAGCTTGAGCGATTGTCGCTTGGTGACGCAGTGATTTGAGAGTATGAGCGTTGTATACGGGTTGAAGAGCTGGCCGACTTCATCAGCGAGACGAACGGATCTCCCTTGGAATCAGGCCCGTATTCAGCGCAACATCTTCGTTCTTGTGTCCGGCGAATGCAGCAAAGAGGACGTCACGGTGGACTATTGCGTTCCGATCTGGCGTCGGAAGAGGTGATTGAACATCTGAACGACGTCTTTGTGTGATTCAAGGTCGTACTTGGTAATATGGATTACGAGATAGCAGAGCAGGTCGGTGCTGTATGGCTCTTGCGCGAGCTAGGCGAGAAGTTCGGGGACGGGTTCTGTGCAACGCATCGTGAGTCGACATTCGGGATCGCTAGCATAGCTTCAAGCGCACGTACCCCGTCACCGTATTGCAGTTCCTCAATCTGTTGTAACCCCCTGCTCATCTCATCGCTAGCCGAACAAGCTCCGGCGGCATCCGCTGCTTAGACTTGAAGAAGTTCATCGTCAAAGACGTCGCTTCTTTTGTATATGTGAGTTGTTGCAAACGGCGCCAGCGAGAGGCGCGCCAGTGGTGATGGTGGTAGAGAGGAAAGCAACCCATTCCGTGAGGTGAAGGGACGCGTCGCGACTCTGCCTCCGACCACCATCACCTCACTCCATGTAGTCTCACGTGATCGTACTCTGATAGTGACATCTATATCTGAAATGGAATGATCTATACTTGAACTCCATTGATACGCCACCGTCCACAGTCTCTAAGGTTTCCTTCCGCTTCGCTCGTTCTTCCGAAATCCGCCTGAGTACCCGAGCGCGCGTCTGAGAAATAGAGGTAAATTGAATAGAGCCCGAAATAGATTGTGTTGCTGGCTTCATAACCTCATCACTTCTTGGAGCGATCCCCAGCTCAGCGAACTTGATCTGCTTATTAATTAGAGGATGCCCTCGCTCTAGCTAAACGCCGTCGCCGTCGGAGGCGTTGCAGTTGACGGAGAAGATGCCCCACCGGGATGGTCGTCAGCTCAACGTAACAGAGATACAAAGAACGAACGTACGAAGCGACAGACGTCGCAGCAGACTGTCTCCTGGTTGCACTGCGCGCTGCCAGACAGGGCATTGATGATGGCTGAGCATGCAAGCTTTGGATATGCAAGGCCGACAGGAGCGTTGGAGCCACGGGGAATGTTAGGAATGAGCTCATAGGCCTCTCCCTGTCGAAAAAGTCAGGGAGCGCATCGCCCGGGAATTACACAGAAGACACACCGACTGGATCCGGTTGCAGTAGAATTGCCCCTGTTGCAGTCGCTGACGAGTGCGGGGACGCACTCAGAGTCGGAGTAGCACGAGTAGTCGTTACACGGAGGACAGTTGCGACGAGCGACGTGAATAATGAAGATGATTGTATTACGAACCGCTTGGCCTCCGCCTGGCAGGCGGTCTCCTCGTACTCGGGCTGGCTCGCACGCGGGCGCCTCTTAGTTCTACGATTGAATGTCAGCACAAGCAATACGCAACACGAGCGGCGGACATACGTTGCGCTTGTCCTTCTTGGCCTCGTGCGCGCGGTCCTCACAGAGGCGTAGTCGTACGCCTTGTCGTAGACGCCCTACTTGTAATCGTGATTGGGCTTGTTGTACTCGATGTCGTAGTCCTGCTGGTACCAGTAGTAAAATGTGTAGTCGGATTTCTCGGGCTGGACGTGGGCGGTGGCGAGTAAAAACGGCGCGGACGAACGTGTCGAGTTGGCGCGCGTGGACGGGAGATATGGATTAGCTAGTAGATGTAGGTGGTAAGCAACGTTGGTCGGATGGGAGAGCGAATAGCACGCACCGTGACCTTCGTAACTCCCGCCGGTCTCGTTCGACAGTTGCGAGCACTATGAATGCATCGTAGGATGCCACCCATACTAACACAGGAAACGTCGTGGTGACGGCGAGTGAAGCCGACGCGGTGTCCAGATGTCCAGGTACAGCTTGAGCTTCGAGTATAGGTACGTGCTGGCAGCAAACCCGCCAACGAGGAGGTATATCTATCATCCTGCGAGCTCGCGAGTACGTGAGTTGTGGTAGACATGATATGAGCAAGCACGACATAGATTATCAGCTTAATTTGTCCAGTCGAAATGCTAAGACTGACGTTCTTGTCTGCGAGAAAGGATCTGAACTCGATATACTCGCCAGCGTCCCTGAGCCGCTTCTTGGTGATCCCATCAAACTCTTTGTCCCTGCGAGTTTAGCTGCGTGAAGTCTATCAGCTCACGCCGGCCGTGTTTGAGTAGCATCAGGCGACATGCCCTCAAGGAATTTGTGCGCGCGCTGACGAATGAGAACCGAGCCTTGGAATATGCCTGCATGACACATGAGTTCTTGTCTGAACGTATTCAGGGGAGTAAGACAGACATGTAGATGCGGCCAACTCCTGAATCTCAACAGGAGAATGTATACGTGCTGAAGTCTACGGCTCCACCGCCCGCGTCGAGAATCATGACGTTGCTCCTAGTCTCCCGATCGATGAGTACGCCGAACTTCGTTGGCTGCAAACAAAGGGAGCCACCTACCGAGGTCACATCCTCAAGTATCCCAGAGGAGGTAGAAAATGTAACGCATCCTCCCCTTTCGGTACAAACTTCACACGCTCATACCCAGCCGGCGTGTCAAGCACAAGTTTTTCCAGAATCAAGGCTCGCCGCATAGCAGCTTGTTGCGAGCCCATGAGCTCAGCGAGTCCTAGGTAAGCTGTACACTCGCATGCGCCTCGCAGATGAGCGCGCGAGTGCGCTCGAGAGGATATTGATGGTAGTCGGCGTATACCACCACTACGTCTTTGTTTGGTGGTAGGACAGTGTGCGGTGTGTAGGCGTTGAATGCGTCGTGCGTCGCCTATGTTTGCTGGCAGCGCGTGGTCTGTAGCATAAAAGGTGGCAGCACGTACCACTCGACACGGAACGGCTCTACAACATCCCACTCGCCCTCTTCACTCTTCACCATCGCTGTCCTCAATATCGCCACCATCCAGCGGAGGCTTTTCAGCGTCAATCGCCAGGAGCTTGCCGTTCGCATCGTAATAGACGACAGAGGGAGCCTTCCAGTCGCCTCCCTCCTGCCCGAAATATCTGAAATCTGTAATTCTATTAAGTGCGGGTAATGCTGGAGATGTAAAATATTTACCTCGTGGCTGTCTTGATTTCGGGCATCTTACCAGAATCAAAAGCAGCATAGGATACACCGATGTAGGTAGTCCTGAGATCAAAGGCGATGACAAGCTTCCAATTGGGGCCAGCGCAGGGAGTTCTATTGGAGAACTTTGGTCAGTACCCCGTTATGTTGAGGGAGAATGATGGGATGAGAAGGGCAGGGTTGGAAAGAATCGGGGAGGCACCTTTGTGCGGGCAGGGGCCCACAAACCTGCCATCCTCGGGCGTTGCCATCATAGAAGCCGAAATTCCTGATACCACTCACGGGGAGTTCGCCAGCGTAATGATGGAAGAGAGCTGGCAGAACAAAAGGAGCAGCCGCACGGTCTTCTCCGGCGGTTGGCGCGCATATTGGGCAGATGGCGGTGAGCGACGAGAGCGACGTGCGGCGGCAACGGAACTTCGGGCACCATGGGAAAAACCCCTATCTCGCGTGTTGGTGCGTCCAAGGCGCGTTTACACGGCTCGACGCGCAATTGTTTCTTGCGCGCGAACGGCGATATCGCTCTCGAAGATTCCACCGACGCTGATCGTGGTGCCGTCGACATCGTCCTTACGGAGTCTAGTCTTTCGTCGACCGTCCACGCCATCTGTCCGTGGTTCGCGTATCATCTTCCAGCGCATGCGCAGCTATGTCATCTAAGCCTACGCCGTTACGATCCGTATCATCGTCTACTTCGCCATTCTCGCGTTCTGCTACAAGATGGAGTTCCCGTGTCGTTCATGGTCCTGATCATCGCCCTCTTCAACGACGGTATCATCATTACGCTCCCGATCGACCGCGTCTTGCCCTCGACCACTCCCGACTCCTGGGACTTCCTGAGATCTTCATCTATGCTGTCGCGTACGTCCTCCACCTCACCCTACCGATGTAAGCAATCTTGGTCCGTTTGTCTCGATCTTCACGCTGACACTTTGTCCAACATTCCCCTTGTCATCATCATCAAGGAGTTCGTTGTCGTGCTTACCACGCCCTTCCCTATCGACTTGAGCGACAAGCAAACGACAAGCAGTTGCGCTCGATCACCTACCTCCAGGTCGCTATCACCTCGCAGGACCTCATCTTCGTCACCTGCTCGCATGGTTTCTTCTCCATGGAGCGCCCGTCGTACGCATCGAGTGTCGCTCGCTCGCGGCGGTCGGCGTAAAGGGATGAGGCGTCGCGCATGGCGGAACGATACGGGCGATACGATAGCGAGAAGATCTGCTTCAACTCGTTTCATCTCATTCCATATCACAGCGAATTCGTATCGTCTCGCGGAGACACTAGATGATGATTAGATCGTCGTCTCACCCTCCAACTTGGCTGCTCCATTGCCATTGCGCCGTCCTCCGCGTCTAGTTCTACTTGGACCACACCATCTCTTGGTCCGCTCGCTGAAGTCAAATCGGAAGGGGTACGTCGGATTTGAGCAGCTTTGTGGCCCAGTATTGATAGCTTGGTTACAGTGTATAGGCCTGGACAAAAAATGGGAATACGAGCCAAGTCTGTTCTGTTGTGAAATAAACTACCGTACTTACTTTAACTGTCCGCAGGATCCCGCCCCGCCATGGCACGCCGGCGTCCCGAACTGAAGGCAGTCGCGATGAGGGCGAGCAAGACCGCGAGATAGGAGAAATCCCACCAGCCGTATGACGAGTCTATAGATGCCCTCTTACTTCCTTGTGGGCGGTCTACGTATAATGCTTCATTGGTATATGGTGATGAAATCGATTCATTTTCTCTTCACTGGAATACATGGTTTGACATCGTGCCAATGCACGTGGATGAAACAAAAATGAATAGTAAGTAGGACGATAACAACAACTATTGCCATATACATGTGAGATGCGAGACAGTCCACCGGCACGATGAGGAACAGGGCATGGTTGCTTTGCCCGACGGTATGCGGTACCACCTGTCCTCGGTCACATCACCGGGCTTCACCTCCCTTCACGGCCTCGCATAGTTCGTGAACCACGTCGATCACACCCTGCAAGAGGATGTTCGTGTGGTCAATTAGTTCGTGCAGCTCGGGCTGATCATGCGTCGCAACCGCCGCTGGCGTTGCCAAAACGTTGGAATGCGCAGCCCGCTGCTTGATGCGCACGGTGTGCGACGTATGAGTGCTCGCTGCGGACTTGCGGCGAGGAGGAGAGACGCCCTTGGAGCCGGCAAGTGTCTTGTAAAAGCTGGGCGAGGAGCGATACGGAGTATCCCGCCTAAGACTGCGCCGAGGAGCAGATCCGTCATTGCCTTGAACGCGCAGCGAGGGACCTATCCTTCCTGGTGCCGCTCGCTTGGGCCAGAACCGTGGGCCACGGCTGGGAAGGATGGTATTAATATTAAGTGATATGTCTTACACGGGACGTTTCAAGAAGATTGGCGCACTCGTGGTATAACACTTCGATATCCTCAGACTTGTTGCTGTTGCTGAGGCCTACTACTCCGCCATCCATTAGACTCTCATCGTGGGTGAGGTCTATCACGTTCCCCATCATTGACAAATGGAGTGTGCAAGGAGAACGAGCGGGATCGATTCGTTGTGGACGTTGAAGTACGCGCGCTCACTGGGATCGAGGTTATGGGTTGGTTATGGGTGACTGTGAGGAACGACCCAGCCCTCAGCGCTTGAGCTTACGGCGGCCGAGAGGCACGTGACAAGAAGAAAGTTAGCAGCGGCTTCCCTTTTGACGGAAGGGCAGCGCCGCAGCGGCTTCGCGACACCGCCGGAGGGTATGCATACTTAGTAGGTTACGTATGCATTCAAAAACTGCTATACTTAGGACCACGAGCGGCAAGGCCCGCTACGACACCATCAGAGGACCACCCAAATGCTTGACTAGCGCCCAAGCAGCGTCAAGCCGCTGAGGACCTCCGGAGGCTCCGGAGGTCTTTCGATCCGCGTGCCCACATGCGTGTTCGCGGTGGGGACCTGGATCGATGCAAGGCACTCGCTGAAACGCCCCGGGGCGCCTCGAATCGCCGTGGTACAGCGTGGTACCAGGTGGTACCCTACCAAACCAGATCAAACCAGACGCGGACATATATCTTCGGTATATTCCCAACATACTCACTGAGTTCTCTACTGTCCTTATTATAACTGACAGTGAGAGAATGAGAATAGGGCTCGTACATGGCGCATACGCGGGCGAGCCGCGAAGGCCTCTGGGCTTACGCGCCCTTCGGCGATTGTCGAAACGGTCGCGCCCTCCATGGCCGAGTGCAGCTCGTTCCGGTCTCAGCGCTGCAGCGAATCAGTTGCTGCAGACAGGTGGGGAGTGCAGCGCTACAGTGCACCGCTGCACGGTTCAGGGAGGTTCTGGCTTTTTGCCGCGGTGGGCGGCTTCAAGTCTCAAACTCTCAAGCTTCAAGCTTCAAGCCTCAAGGCCTCAGGTTTCAGGTCTCAGATTTGAGTTTGCATATTCATTTGCGTAGCTATCAGTCCACAGGCCGGCACGCGCTGGTGGATCTATGATGACTGTCTCAACTGAGCGACCAGAATATTGCAGTTACCGTAGAGCCAAATTGATTTATTCAGACTCATCAGCGCTTCTTATCCTTGTGTACCATCCTGCGCACCAATGTCGCATGGCTTCCCGCGTTGGGCACAGTATCTAGAAGGCACATTTCAGTGAGGATGACAAGAGGACTTGTGAACAACACGTACTCGCATGATTCCTTCGCTGAGGTTGATGGACGTCTGCGGCAGCCAACCTTTCTTCTCCGACATGCCGTGCACGCTACATGGCCTCGAACTCTATGAGAACGATGCCTTGCAGATGTCACAGAAGATAGGTCGGTGGCGGACAAGATATAGAAAGCACTTGGTGCCATGGACGATGTTGGAATGGGTGCCGGTGCCGGCGATGATATGGGTGTTTGTAATGGCGGCCGGTGTAGTGTAGACAAAGGCGCCATGCTCGAGCAGGGCATGGAAATCGAAGGAGGCGCATCCTGCAACCAGTGCGGCGACAGTTGTTGAGCGGGAGGGTGATCCAGTGTGTCATTCTGCATCTAGTCATTACATAACTTATCAACCGTAAGACTGTGCGTGTGCGTACTGCGATATTATGCGTGTATGGCTGAGACTGCATGGGTGTCCATACACCGCCCGTCCAACATTGCCATTGAAGCCAGTTCTCGCAGATCTTCCAGCACATGTCGCATATGTAAAGGTTAGGATGCATATGGTCAGAGTAAGGATCCATGATCCGAACGTGAAGGCGGAGTGACCAGTGAATTGCTGTTCGTGAGTTCCGGGATCAAGCACCGAAAAGGGCAAGGGAGTCACCGGCAATCACCGATCTGATCTTCACACACCACAACTATGCGCCTCGCGCGTGCCTCTACATACTTACTTGCAAGGTTGCGGGTCGCTCACGCGGGTAGTCTCGAATTTAGACGCCCACCGCTGTCAACGCACGCAAGCAGGCACGCAGGCGGAACGTCTGGTGCAACTTAACCGCGAGCTCACCCATGGGGTCACGCCGTGACCCATCAGCCGGCGGCCCGAGTCGTCCGCCCGATGCAGAGCGGCGCCTATGACTGCCACAGCCCCTCCGGGGCATTACCGGGGCTCAACTACCTTCAAGTACGATCCATGTTCATCGGACGGGATCCACTACTATTAAAAGAGCGGTGTGAAATATGTAATTCATCGATTTGAAGACATGGTATACTAGCTAGCCGTAATCTCAAGCCCCTTCGCGCTCGTCAGCCGGTGTTTGTATCTAGCGAGATCGAACCCACCTCTACCTCAATAGCAGAATATTGCGATGTTGTATTGCATGGCGTAAGATGGGGACACCCTCTTCAAGGAGACGCCGCATTTGTCCCAAACCACGAACGGCGCATTCGTGGCGAAATTCTCCCCAGCCGTCATCGTCTCCGCAGAATGTCGTTTGTGAGAGTCTGAAGCCGATCTCGCGCGTGCGCACGCGGTCGACAAAGTTGAGGATCACCATGCGAAGTTCTTCGTGCCGCCATGCCTCCCCAACGGCGCTCGCCCACCGTCCACTGTCGGGGGAGAGGGATTCTAATAAGCTGATAAATCCCATAACTTCGCGGAAGATGACCCGCCCGTGAGCCTTGGCGAGATCGAGTTGCCGTCTGCTACCCTCTGACAAACCCTGCTCTCGCAATGGCCTATTGCCGATGCTCTTGACGATTTCAGCGTTGCCGGCTTCCTTGCGAAACTTTGAACTCACTTCAGACATGGTAGAGTTTACTCGAAGAGCTTCGACGCCTGTGCTCTACCTTTATATGGCATCGTATTCTCTGACATGACTCGCTTTGTGCTTTGTCTCAGATGTTCGCTCCCGGGATCGTTGAGGACGGGTCTCGAACGCGGTCAACTCAATATAGGCCATCACATGTCATCGTTCTGGACAATAGTTCAAAGCGGTTTCGCGCGCATGCTCGCAAGATGGAGCAGATGAATGCCTAACTATTTGCAAAAACTCCGTACACAAAGGTAAAGTACGTTTGGCGCCATGCCCACGACCTAATCGTCCTTCTCCGCTAAGAGCCTGATCAAGGTGCGCGTACCGAATTCTTCTTCCACGTTAACCCCGCTTCGCATATAGTACCATAGAGTCTGGACGACCTTAGGCCCGTCAACGCCTTTATCGAGTCGTGCCCAATGACGCCAAGGCGCGTCCTTGAGAACGACGACTGGCCCGCGGACAGGGTCCTTCCCTTTGCCAAGGAGTGCGGACACAATCTCGTTGACGGGACCGGTACCATCGTTGCTGGCCAGTGCGATGTGGTGCCAATCGTAGATGGCGGGATCGCGGTCGAAGAATGAGGCGACAACGCGAGTGGTAGAGCAGCAGAGTAAGTCCTCAATCTCGCCGGGCCGGATCCTCCCATCGTCGTCAGCTTCTAGGATGCATGGAGCGACTCGGTCGTCTACGTCTTCGCGGTGTTTGATATCAGGCTCCCAGTTGGCTTTGACTGAGACGTAGACACCGTTGGGAATCTGTTATAGACGGATGAGCGAGAAGAACCATCTGAATGGTGTGGTCGACCGCACCTCATGTTCTTGCGACATCGTATCGATGCTGGAAAGTCATAACGGCTCGCCTTTTAAGCTGCGCCGTCCCAGCTACAGACACAGAAGTCGAGACCGATATCTGCTTCCGTCAAGTGGGGTCGAGAGGCGGACACCAGAGCGGGTAACGTGTGTAGTCGTGGAGCGAGTCTGGACTGAGTCTGCGAGTCAGGCATGTGAATAAGGCGGAGCACATCATCACCTATGCACACCTTCATCCGTCGCAAGGCCCGGTCTGGACCACGCAGAAGGTATCCGAATGTAAAAACGGCGTCCGTTAAGAGCGCTGTTCGTCAGGAGAGCAAAGGGCCACTGCAAAATGCCGAGTGGGATGCACACACTTAGAGCGCTTGCGCAAGAGCATACGTTCGACCATACTGAAGAGGTCTTCCTGGCGTCACGCTTCGACACCTTCTTAAACGTGGTGGAGGAGCATGACGAGGAAACGCTGGATGAAGATGGGCGGAGGACGTGCAATCTGTCACACACTTACAGTGACTTCTTCCAAACACTTTGCACGGATTTCATCGCCGTCCACCGTTCTCGTCGTGGAGACCTGAAGGAAAAGAACGAAAGAATCATCATGATGGTGAGCGGGTTGTACCGGAAAGCGAATTCGTGTACTGACGTGTAATATAGCTCCTCGAGAATTGGTACTGGAGTCAGTACCAATGGCTTACGAGGCATTCGATGTCGTGTTCGGGTTGTTGATCTTTGTTCTGTGGATACCAGTAGTTATTGTAGTTGTTCGCGATGGGAGTAGAAGTTCTGGCGAAGGCCGGTCGGTGTCGAGCAGCGCGCGTATTATTGCAGCACGAGTGGACGGCGAGTCGAATACCGAAAGCGGTGTTCTGTCGTGAGCCGGGCAGACAGCAGGATTTTGCACAACTGAATAGGTGAATATTCGGTGCGGTATAAACGACAACGCCGTGATGGGCGGAAGAGAGCGTATAGCGTACGGAGCCAGGAAAGGCGACGCGGGTTGAACCGCGATCACGTGAGAAACACGTAGGTACAAGGACAAATCGGTGGGGCGAAGCGGTCCGGGAAGGAGAGATCGTAGGTGGTTTTATGTAGATTTATATGGGAAACGAAACAAGATACTGTTCTCGCGAAACGAGTACATGATGGAGGGGAAGACGAACACAATACAGTACAGAAGCATCAAGCGCGTACACGATAAGTAGGTTTATGGGGATTTTCTGGAGACATCAAAGGCAGACACTGTTCTCGCGGAACAAGTACATGATGGGTTACAGCAGCAACAAACAGACATAGACGACGCCAAAGGTAATCGAGAGCGCGTTACTCGTCAGCCAGCTTAGATCACGACCTTCTTCTTCGGCTTCGAAGCATTGACGGTGATCTCGGCCTGCTCTTCGGCGTTGACGAGTAGGGTGACGGCCTCCAACTGGAAGAAGACGCGAGAACTGTCCCAGTTCTTGACGCGACCGTTCTCGGACTCGTCCCAGTAACGAGCGACCGTAAACTCCATGAGTACGACGTCACCGCGGACAAGGGTGTTCGGTGCCAACGTGCGCATGTCGGTTTTGTCGGGCGTGAAGATCTGACGACCGTCGTAGATGTAGGCGAAGGGTTTAGACTGTGTACATGTCAGTAAGAGTTGCGCATGGATAGAAATGTGTGCGTACCTCGGCCGCGTCTACGCCCCGAGCGCGGGCGGACATATCCTTGTGTGCGGAGATATGGGATATCTTCTCCGTCTCGAGCGGTTTCTCTGTAAAGACGGTGAACATGCATCGCTAGATAGAAAGAAAGAGGACGCACTGGTCTTGGAGTGAGTTCCGATCAGTTTCCGGATGTGCATGAGGTCACCCTCGCGAAGAGGCGTGATGCTGAGCTTGGCCTTGTTCGGGTAGCTGCCGTTCTCGGGAAGCAGGCCGTTCCAGTTGATATCTCCGAGAGACCAGAACTTGATGGGTGGGACGTCGTCCTTGACGCGCAGGTAGGAACCCTTTACTCTCGAAGACGACCAAACGAGGTCCGCTGGTTTGGTGCGGAGGTAAAATGTGGACTCGTCCTCGTACTTGTACGTGAAGATGTTGTCGAAGCGCCTAGAACGGCATGTGAGTGGCTATGAGCACGGAACGGCGCGATATGGCGTACTTCAAGACGGCCTTGGTGAATGACGCCCTGGGGGGTACGGCGTCCTCGGGCGCGACGTCCGGCATCTTGTTCTTCGCGACGACCGTGTTGTCGAGGTTGGTCTGATACGATTCATAAGCGCAAGCTCCCGCATGCATGAGGGAGATGATGTACGAACCTGAACGGCAGGCGCTTTATCCTTCCCTTTGTTTGCCGGGGTTTCGGGCTTCTCCACGGCAGACGATGGGTTTGACGGCGGGGTTGTAGGCGCAGGCGCGGTCTGGTTCGCCTCGCCAAAGATGTCCAATTCGTTCACGTTCGAACCCGTGACGGCAGAGGGCGCGACAGGCGGGTCACCAGGGGCAGTGGCCTCCTTGCCGGCCACAACAAGGGGGACGTCACAGTCATCGCCATCAGAGTCGGAATCACTGTCGTTGAACAGGCCCGACTCGGCTGAACCGTCGTCGTCCTCCGCTGCGAGAGGGTCAGTTAATGCCTGAGATTAGTCTCACTGTATGCACGTACCCTCAACCGCCTCGAGGTCAAGGAACTTCTTGACGGACGCGCGAGTGGCGCTGGCGAAGCGTCAACATGGTAAGTCGTGAAGGAGATAATATTGACGCACCGAGGGTTCTTCGCGTTGACGTTCTCCGAATCTGACAAGTCGGCCGTGATGGCGTCGCGCTTGCGAGCGTTCGTGCGACCCATGTTGAGACGTTGTAGAGTAATTGTGCAGAAGTATAGAACCGAGGGAAGATGTGGGGACTGCATATTGCTGCACGTCGACGGGCAAGATTATATACCAGGTGCGAAGGCAGGCCTTGACAAGCGGAGAACAGCGCGGCGAGAACGACTCAGCGATTTCTGGGCTCCTGTGACAAAGGCGAGAGGGAAAGGTCGAGAAGCTGGTGGGGCCAGAAGGCTGGCCTCTTGGAGCCATATAGGCGGATCCTGGCGCGATCCAGGCGTCTGGACCTTGGACAGTCGTTGGGGGGACCGAGACATGTAAGCTTGTCCACAATCATATGCTATCGTAGGGCTGTAATGTGGGGCGAGGCGTGTCTGGAGTACCTACGTCTCGTCGGATGACGATTGCAGGTGATTCCGGGATGTGGTGGGGAGACGACAACCTGGTCCGGGTAAGGGATGCCTTAAACGGGATGGTCCTAGCGCCCGTGAACGGGCCCTCGGCGGCCAGTGGCTACGATGACAAAGACAGTCAGCGGGGTTCGGCATAGAACGAAGGCACGAGACTTACATTCGAAAGTCACGGAAGGCCCAGAGCAAGCACGGTACGTCAAGCTCGCAACGGCTGGGGAGAAGAGATTCGCATGCTAAGAATGCGTGACGACTGCAGGCGCGTGGGGCATAAAAGACGTACTGGAGAGGGGTCTCGTGTACGTGGGTTTAGTCGGATGTCCTATCTGGCTGGTACGTCTGATGGCAACGCGAACGGCTTGGACCCTGATGTGCGTCGTAGACGATGAGAATAACCGCGCGTGCGACGGGTATCCCGACGCTGCGACTTCGGTGCGCGGCTACGAGTGGGATCCAATGACCGCGGAGCTATGGCAGCTGATACCGAAGACTAACGATTACACGGCGTGGTTGCGCATTATGCCCGGTGTCCGTCTCGGTGGTCGGAGCCGCGAGCAGCGTCTCGTATGATGAAACGCTTCGCGAGAGCGCTGCGCCAGGTCGGCCGTGGACGGTGACTGTTCATCTCTACGGCTTCATAAGCAACCTGAACATGGCCAAGACCGGTACTTGGGATGGGTAAGCGACAGATTCCTTGGATCCCTGCTGGGTACTCACACGTATCAGGACCGAGGCTGGAGCGATAGGCGCCGTACAGTTTGTTGACATAGGGCCGGGGAAATTGGCCGCGCCGTTCCGAGCGCAAGCGGACACGCTGTACGAGGTGGAACAGTTCATTATAGCAACGATTCGCGGAGGTGGGCTGCCCGTTCACCTGCAAGACGTGATGAAGAGGCGTCGCCGGGAAGGTCTTCATCTCGTCAGCCGAGTGTTCACAAAGGTATGCAGAAGCGTCGACTTACGGTAGCATGATGCCGACCTCTTGATGCGCCAGGTCGGGCCCAATACACCCGCCGCGATCATCAGCACCGGCGCGGCCAGCCAAATCATCAAGAAATGGCGGATTATCGACTCCGTTCGCCTCGGTCAACGCGGTGAAGATAATGTAGTGCGCAACACCTGTGCAGCCACGTTTTCCCCGGGCGACTTCGTGCAAGCCACCATCAAGTTCGACGTAGAGTCCGTTCAGTCGAGCAGTCGCCACGAACCGCCGGTAGTACGCATTCGCCATCATCTCAAGTCCCTTGTCCAACTTGTGTCTGCACGGGACGTCCCTCGCGTGAGTTTACTCGTTACCGAACAGACGATTCGACGGCTTACAATGAGATCCAGGTTCTTCAAGTTTCGCCTTCGTCGGGTTCAGGCAAGCCTCAGACGGCGGAGTTCGTGGCAGAGGAGGGTATTGACCGGGGGTATGAGTTCAGCATGCTGTGATTGTTTCATGAGTACCACGCTCTGCTTGTATAAGTATTGTACATTTGAATGAGCGCGCGTACCATGTATTTCGAGCCATTTCTCGTCCGACTAAGTGTGGTAGCGGAGTCCCAGGTGTCCCCCACCGCGTAAGGAAGTTTGTTGCGTTTTATGAGCACATTAACCGCGGATTTCGGCTGGCAAACATACCGGTGCTTCGTTTGAGCGCCAGAATAGATAGAGTTTGTAAGTGCGCCGAAGTAGCAGCGAGTGTTCCTAGCTAGGAATTCACTGAAGACAGAGAACATGGACGTCAAGGACGGAGGACGCGAGACGGAGCGTTCAGATCAAGGAATGCGGATCAGATCTCAAGACCGAGGCCGCCGCAGTCGGTGCACGAATCACGGATAGTGGGCTTGAGGTGATAATGCCTATACAATCAAGGTGTTGGCACAGTGCGGCGTTGCCTGATGCAAGTAAAGTTGGTACCGGACATGTACATCGACTGTACAAGCACGGCGAAAAGCTCAGGTTCAATATCACAAATCCTGGGTGTGGATCGGGCTGGCCAACGCCCTTACGAGCATCGTGTTGTATTTGGTCTAGGCGACCGTACATTGGCAAGCAATGGAACCCAAACTACATAGAGGGTACGAGTCTACGACTCCTGTAAGTAACAAGACTACGGATGAGCGAACAGATGCGTGACGTAAGTAAATATCAACTAGGCATCAGACTCATACGGTTGGCGCACTGAGTGCATGATCAAATCAACGAGCACTCTTGGGCAGCCAACGAAAGCGGCTTCCGGATAGGAGACGTCAACGATGGAGCGCACATAAGGGAATGCCGACTTCAAGGAGCGTATCAACGGGCGTCTCGCGCTAGAAGTTGAGCCCAGCAGTTGGTGAAGTACGGAATCCAAGGCGACTTCCTCCTCGGACCAGAGACGAAGAGTCTCGATGCGACCCACGGTCTTGAGGATGGTGCGGTCATCTGGAGCGAATAAGTGACAGTCGCTCTGTAACTGTACGCACGTCAATGGCAGTCTTCGACGAAAGAAGAAGCAGATGTACCTCCAGAGTATGTACAGTCTTTAGCGCATTTGTGTGCTTGAGCAGGAGATCAACGAAGTCAGCCCAGTGCGTCTACACAACTGTCAGTACCGAACGTCATCAGAGAGGATGCAGTCAGGCTCACGATGGTCGGGGACGAGTATCCCCAATCCAGGAGGAGGAGGAAGGAAAGACGTCATCGTGCCAAAATCCTGAGGGATGATAGCACAATGATCCTTGTTCATACGCTGACGCGGCATACCCGGTTTATCGCCGGCTGGGTTGTCAATCACGTACGTGAGCCTAGTCAGACGGCATACATTCGTGTACATTCTATCAGCCACAGAAGACGTCGCGAACGCTCGCCGGACGTCTTCTGGAACGCGGTCATGAGCATAGTACAGTTTGTTGGCAAGAGAATCGACTGGTTTTAAGCCCGATTTGAGCGCAGACTTACACGTCTTGCACACCCGAACAGCGCCGCGCATGGTCTTGAGTGGCATGCCATTCGGATGAAGAAGAGCGCGTCGATAGAACTCAAACTCGTACGAAACAGGTTTCAATCGGTCCAGTAGACCAGGGTCAGTAAGAAGATCGAGTTGCTCGTCACTCAGGTTGAAGATCGAGCACTCGGGATTGAACTTATACTGCGCGCACACCGCGCAAGTCACCCGCTTCCATGCGGCAGGCTGCATAGCTAGCTGCCATTCACGTATAATGGTCTCCCGCAATTGTGCGGAATAGGGCTCGGGAAAGGGGTGCTCGATCGGCAAGACGAACTCCGCGTTGTCGTCGGTCTGAGTATCACGATGAACAGGTCGTGGGCGGACGTACGGAGCGCGGGAACCACGGGAACGCCGCGAGTGCTTAGCCGACACCCTTGTTACATTCTTCTTCTCCCGCCTGACGGACCTCAGTTCTGCGAGAACATATATCGCGCTCGGACATGTCACACAGCAGTGCTCGCTAAGCATGTTCACAGCTCGTTCGCGTGAGCATGATCGACCCAAGCGTATGCAATGAAAATGCGCGATTTCATATAACTGATGCATTTGCATGAACGGCAAGCCCACAAGCAGACGTAGCGACGACTGAGTTAGTCGTAACGGAGCAGCCGTCAAGTTCGGGGTCTGGGAACGCGCGAGTTCCACGATCTCGGTATCTGAGCGCACGACGCCCATAAACCTGAACCAATGTTCCAACATCGAGCAAGAGACTAGCGGAACTCCTGAGGGCACGGGTGCCCATTGGACGCATAGCTCATGCAATTCATCTATAAATTGGATATATAGGCATCGACGAAGCAGACGGGGCATCGTGTAAGGAATCGGGTTGGTGATAGACGAAGAGGATTAAAAAAAGGGAGCGAAGGACAACGTAAGCGAATATCTGGACGACGTGAGAGAAGCGCACGTACCCCTGTTCAAAAGCGATGGGACAGGTTCCGGAGGTTCCACCGGTTGAGGAGGCAAAGAGCGCGAAGGGCGCGGGGGAAAGAAAGAACGAAAGCTGGACTGGATGCTACTCGCCAATCCAGCCATCGTCGACGTCTGCGACGTGAATGGCGTCTCGAGACGGGGAGCCAATGGACGTGACTGAGAGCCCGCGAGCAGACCTGCAAGCATGAATACGAGACTAGGATGAAGAAGGTCGGACAGACCTGAGTTCGTTCGAAAGCGGGCACTGTTCGCCATAGTCGAAGGACCAGGGCCCGCAACCGCGGTTTGCGAAGCCGAAGCAGAGGCAGAAGGGCCATACGAACCTGTGCGAGATGAGAGATAAGAAAAAAAGAGCGCTCGAAGGAATTGAAAGGGACGTACCGACGCCCTGCTTCTGACGCTTGTGCGACCTGGGATCGAGTGAAGGTGAGCAAGGACGTTTAGACATTGGGGCAAGGGATACGTACGTTCAGTGAGCAAGCAGTCTATAAACGCACCAACGGCGAGGGGCCAGAACATCACCTGGCATTGGGTCCAAGTCTTCGCCAGACCTGGACTCACACGCCGAGCATTGTGTTCTGAGACATGAGCGCATGAGCGTTCAAGAGCAAGAGCGTCACGACGCGCGCAGGAGCGCACAGAGTGCTGTGACCAAAAAGTGACGGTTTTCGTGACCGGACCGCCCTCGGGCCGGGGACGTTTTTGGGCTCCTAGGCGACAAACCGGAACTCATCCTGAGCCCCGGAACCGCCATGACGCTCGCTTCGGGTACAGGCGGCAAACCCTCGCCGATTGAGAGATGATGCTACTTAGCTATCCAGCCTCAAAAATTTGTATGGATACTGCTGTACCGTACCGGAAATATTCCCTTCTGCTTGCCTCCACGACGTGTTTCACTCAGCATGCCTGATAACTCGCTTGACGGCCTCTACGATGTCGAAGATAATGTCGAGGATGAGGATATGTACGACATTGACAAAGCATTGGACAATGAAGAGAGCGAACCGGAGCCCATGAACCCAGAGCCACAGCCAGACCGCGATCCCGTACACGGCGAACATCATCGCCGGCTCTTAGAAACTCCCGCTCGCAACAACACTGAGCTCTCACCTCTCGTTCGAGCCACCCTGCCATACATAGAATCAATCGGGCTGGATCTCACGATATTCTTGAATGCTTTAAGCTGGGGTGATGGCGGCTGCACGCGCGACCCGGACATACGCCATGCACGGACAGGCTCCATGCACAGTGTGACGAACTGCCTGCGATCCTTCATCACTGGTGCCGCTCTCCGCAGGATACGAAGCGCACGCGGCACCGCCGCGCTACCGCTGTAAGCAAGGCGCTCGAAACGTTTGCTGTAGAGCGCGTGGGTGACATCATTAAACAGCTTCCGTGCGTACTCGTTCACCGACACCATCGAGCGTCTATGCGACGAGCATAGGGGAATACCTGTACTGTGGGGTATCGTGCAGCGCATCCTTCGAGGTGGCAAGCACCGGGCATCAGAAAGACCGAGCAGGCGGAACTGAACTCGTTAGTACACAACGGCGCCGACGAATATGCTTTGACTGACTTGCCCTCAGATCGGGGTGATGATCGTGTCACAGATGCTGTACAGTCGAAACCAGAGGCGCAGCCTGTGGCAGAAGCTCATCACCCTCTACCTCAAGAGCTCAGGTCTGTCTGCGAATGGACTGGACTATCTACATGCACTCGGTGTGACGATGAGCCACCGCTGGAGTATCACTATCGAGACCCGACTATCCGAACAGTCCATGAAAGAGGCCGTGCATGCATTCCTGCATCAACCCTCTGTCTTCGCGCACGACAACCTGAACCTCGCATTCAGAAAGTTCTCGCAGAGGGTAGATAACCTCGACCACTTCGACTCAGGCACAGATGCCACACTATTCACGCAACCATTCCGTCCGTCGAGCGACCCGCTTCCCAACCTCTCCAACTCCGAGTTCCAACAGTCACGCCGTGCAGGCAGTACCACGCCGCTCACAGAAGCAGAGCTTCTAGCACTCTTCGAGAAAGCCGGTCCGAGTATACGCGCCCGCAAGGTACACGAGATCTTACTGGCGCTGATTCATTCCCCCGCCTTTGATCTTGAAACATATCCTCACAAAGACGACCCTTGTCTGCGTCCGCCCGATCCCGTTCACGAGCTTCCGTGCGGGCCTGAATATGTCACCATTCAGTATGTTCTGTCCACGCTGCACATCGAGGAAGGGAGCTACCAAGGGAACCTGAAGCTTCTCGGGGATTGGTTAGTCCAATTGGGTGTAGTTACACGCAAAGCCCTCGAGCGCTTTGGTCTCGAGAAGCTCTGGCCCTTTGTCGGTGATCAGCTCACGGTCGAACGACTGCGCGGATTGGTCAACTCCCGTAGCCAGGACATGGCCGCGTGTGATCGTCTCGACCATCTGGTCCCCATCGGCGGCTGGTTCCACCTGGAGATTGCACACACAACCTCCATCTACGACCAGCACGCCGGCACAAATGCTGGCAAGGGTCTTCGCCATGCCTTCACGAATCTCGAGCGCAAGGGGCTGAGCTCCCTCAAGACGAGCACACCCTACTATCATCATCTGCGAGAGGGCATCCTGCACACAGCAGAAGCCCACCTTCGGGCGTGCTGGCTCGACATTGAGGGAATTGACAATCTCGCGGAGCTGCGGTCCTATAGTCCTAGTGATCTCGTGGACGTTGCCAAGGATATACTGGACCTGTATGCGAGTGTCGACGCATACGAGCGCGCAAACGATCACCCAGAAGAGGACAAGGACCACGTTTTCGCGAACGGCATCATGTTTCGCAGCGATGCGCTGGATTACATCGTGCTCATGAGCGCTATCAAGCACGGCGATGTCGGCATGATGGAGAACATGTTGCCGACCCTGCTGTGCCGCTTTGCGGGTGGCGGAAACCCCAAGTATGCGATAGAGGTCTTGGACCTGTTACAGTGCCTTCACCACGAGTGGACGCCAGAGCTTTCGTAAGTAGCACGATCACCAGATGTTCTGCGACACTGACACACTGGTTAGAACATTTGTACGCGAATTCTGCTGGCTTGTCAACATAAAGGGACATCGCGACAGTTTTCTCCCTATCGACTTCGCACAAGAACACAACATAAAGGCGATCAAGGTGTGCCGGGGCGGTTCATGGTGCTGCGTTGACGGCTGACGCGCTGTCGCATGATAGGTCACATATCGTAGCAACGGTCCGTATTCGGGCTGGGAGCTCATGAGCCGACGTAGCCCCACAATTCCTAAGATGCGGCTACTGCGAGAGTGCTTGGACAACCTCGTGCCAACGGTCCGTCGAGGCTCGACGCACACAGCACCCCAAAAGGAAAAAGACGTCGATAAGCTGGTGAACATCTACGTCGCGGCAAATGTTTGCGACATACGACCCGGGCGAGGGTCCAACTTCTCTGATGCCGACATCGTCAGAGAGGTTAATACAGTGGGTTGGCGTAAGGTTACGGAGCAAGTACGGGCCAATTGGATCGAGAGGCGAGCTTGGCCGCGGAAGGAACGAGAGGGGAACGGGTCGGCCGGGGACGAAATGGACATCAATTGATTATATGTATATACATAAAGCGTATTGTACTGGAGAGTACGGATCAGTAATGTACAGCAATAACTCAGGATGAACTCACAGTACTGTGCAGAGAACAAGCCAAACTTGTTTATGGCTCCTTCCGTCGTGCAGCAGCGCGAGTGCGATATCTGTGCCCACCTCCTGAAGTCCCAAACACCGAGTTTGCGGGCTGAGGTCGTGCCCAAGTCGTCTCCACAGGGTGTGAGCCATGAGAGGTAATAGTGGTGGTTGAGGAAAGAGAGCCGGATCCGAACCCGAGGCCTGGCCGCGCGCTGTGTTCAGAGATTTCGCCGCGCGAAAAGATGAGACGAGCGTTTTGCAGGGCCTCGCTTATTTATAAGGGCCGGGCTGCTTTAGGAGACTAGGCACGCAGATCTTACCACCACCACCTTTCCTTGCCCCTATCTATTCCCGGTGGCTAGGCTCTTTCCTTACGACCCCAGAGCATCTAGTACACGAGTCTTCGATGAGATGACTTGAAGGAACGACGGTGAAGGGCTGGATGGGTTGG